TATCTCCTATCTCCTATCTCCTATCTCCTATCTCCTATCTCCTATCTCATATCTCATATCTCATATCTCATATCTCCTATCTCCTATCTCCTATCTCCTATCTCCTATCTCCCATCTCCCATCTCTTATCTCTGCCATATCACGAATGCCTTTTTTAAAAGTTTTTGCATCACAGGAATTCTTTCACAAGCCCAACCACAGGCAGAACCAATGCAATCCGCTCGAAATGCCATTCCATTACCCACCTCAAATGCAGATGAGCCACATGCGTGCATATCTGCCACAGATATGCAGTTCATTATGCACAGGACTTGGCTGAAGTTATTTTAATGAGCTTCAATAAACAAGTGCGCTGAATTGTGCGAATCATGACAAAAATATCGCTGCATACATTTTGGCAAATTAGTTGAGCCCAGAAAAACCGAAAGCCAAACCGAAGGGCCAAAGCCAAATGTGTGAGCTACGCCCCAATGCACTTGTTGTGTCTGTGTGTTTGCAGGAGGGGTGGGCGTGGTTGAAAATTATGTGTGTGTGTGTGTGTGTGCGCGTGTGCAAGTGAAGAGTTTTCACCGATGTCATTTTTAGCCGCATTTTCATGTCCGATGCGTGCATAAAATTCCACTAAATTATTTGAGCCGTAAAATAGGGCGTAATGGATGGGGCGTGGCACAACAGACAACGAACCGTTGACTATGTGAGTATGTTTGGCTGGTAATTACAGGGCACACACACTTATGCACACTCACTCGCACACTCTTGCATAAATTACAAACTCAGAGAGAGAGAGAGATAGACACATAAGGTGAGGGAGAGAGATAGCTGCCGGTTAAAAACAAGAAAATTGCGTTTTTGCATAATTTGGGACTCACCTCTTCATTATTCACCGTCCATGTGAGATTGGCCGCCGGCCGGGAGTGTCGCGATGTGCAATTGCCACGCAATATGTCGCCGACCCGATATCGGGGCCGGATTCCGGTTATGAATGGCGCATTGTGCGGCGTCTCTGTAAATGCAATGCAAAATGAGAGATGACTGTAAGTTCTGTTGTTTTCTTTTTTTTCCCCTCTTTGATGGAACTTGTTATGTGGCCAGGCTTTGGCCGTCTACACACACACGCACGCACACGCACACGCACATGACCATCGACTGTCACGTTGCTCAAATCCAGGCATTGTCCATGCGCCCCAAAGGTCTTCATGTCTGGCTATTTTGAAGGCTTTCCATTTCAGTTTGCTATTTTTATTTTTTGTTGTGCCTGTGCGTGTGTGTGTGTGTGTGTGTGTATGACTATGACTGCGTGTGTAATGACAGTCGAGGTCAAATCTCTGCGGTCTCGCAGTTTATAATTGAAATGCTTTTGTAAGCCTAAACGCACACAG